TAGTTTGAATAATGTAAATAATGTATATAAAGTTTTAGTTTATATATATTGCTGGCCTTATTATTTTTACCTGTTTTGTTTCTGTTATGGTGAAACACACCTATTCTAGAGTTAATAGACTCTCCCACCTAATATAAGTAGGAGTAGTAAGAGAAACGAGGGTCAGTCGATGTCGGGCGACAGTAGTCGACAAATACAAAAGTAGTCAGTGACCACAACCAGATTTCTCTGCGTAATACCTATTATATCAAGTTCCTAACGTTTTGTATGTCAAACCTATTTTAGGACCGATTTAGTACAAATACAAGTCTCCACTGCGAAATAACTCCACAAGTTTCTTTTTGGTATTGATTGAAAATTTGGTTTTGGGGCATTTCTGTCAATTACATTTAGCCATGGTCAATTGTTCTACACCAGAGAGTCAGCAACCTGTGGCATGCAAAGCAATTTTCAATGACACACAGCCGCAAATGTCATCACAAAGTCCAAACCAATAACTACTACAATGCAAAGATGTTTAGCTGTTTCAAAACTGCTCATTTGTTGGACTCCCATTAATAATAAAAAATTTAAAAAAACAAAAAAGAAATAAAAACAGTTTATTTCTATTAATGCGGTTTACATATATATCTATATATTACTATATAAAATCTATTGTAGAACAGGTATATTGACCTTGAATTGTACAAAAATACATATGCTGTTGGCATAGTGAATGATTGTAAAACCCTAAGTCAGCATATAATCAGCAAAAGGTTGCTGACCTACAGTCGATTATATATTTAAGGATATTTCAGTTACATTCCTGAAGGGTGCCTTGCCCTTTTAACGTTGTGATAATCTAATGATAGCCTGCAGTTGAGATATGATAAATTATCATTTTGTTTTTTCTATATGCAGTGTCCCCTCAGGAAGAAGGCTGAGGGTCATGGCTTTTCATGACATCTGTGTCATTTGTAACTCATAGCAAGGACTGTTTTCTTTTTCTTTACTGACCCTCAAACTCTGTTTTATCAGCCCTTAACGCCATCTCGTTTCAATATTAATATATACTAAAGTATATATTACTATATGAAATCTGTTGTAGAACAGGTATATTGACCTTGACTTGTATAAAAAATACATACACTGTTGGCACACTGAATGATTTTAAAACACTAAGTCAGCACATAATCCGCAAAAGGTTGCTGACCCTTTGAGTAGATAGATTGTGTGAAAATGAAGGGCTTTTTGGTGATATTTATATGGTTCACTCTTATCCACCGAGAACCTGTTTACCATAGAAAACAGGATCCTGCTGTCCCAAGTAAAATTAATAATAATATCCATCACGTATTTAACATTGTGGTAACAATCTGATGATTATCTGTAGTTGAGATATGATAAATTATCATTTTGTTTCTTCTATATACAGTGTCCCTTAAGGAAGAAGGGGGCGATCATAGCTTTTCACAATGTCGTATCATTTGTAACTCATAGCAAGAATTGTCTTTTTTTTTTTTTTTTAACCAACCCTTAACGCCATTTCGTTTCAATTTTAATATATACTAAAGTATATATACTATATATTACTATATAAAATATATTGTAGAACGGGTATATTGACCTTGACTTGTATAAAAATACACATGCTGTTGGCGCACTGAATGATTGTAAAACCCTAAGTTAGCAGATAGCAAAAGATTGTCAAACTCTGGTCTACATCGTCCCTCTGCAGGTTGGTTTAAATTCAATTTTCCTTCTTCTGTACTGGTTGCTAACACAGGCTATAGGGCAAAACCATCTTAATATTTAACCCATACATGGGGGGCAGAAGAGATGGATTCACAATTTTCTGAAGGGTATTTACACATAACAGAACACAGCAAGCATGAGTGGAATTCGAACTCAACTCTACAACGTTCTAATTCAGAGCATCTATACACCACCTGCACATCCAATAATGGGAATAGCCAATTTAAATTAATACAAACAGCTTTGTAAAAAAGGATGAATTCTTGTTTAATTAAGATGCATAACTAATTAATTTTTTGGAGTAAAAATTAATCAACTATTTTTTTTTTTTTTAAAACCCTTAAGGTAGATGAGGCATCAAGAAGAAATGTTTCAATGATTCGATAAAACTTTGAATCTAAGATAGTCAGGGGTTTAGTTAGTCATCAAACTGCATATGTTCTCCCTGACTGAAAGACTCATTTCACACCAAGCAAGGCAATAAAGCCACTAAGACAGAGAATTAAAGAATATAAGGAAAAAGAAAACACTATTAAGGAGAGAGGGCAATAAAAGAACAAAAATTAAGAAGACAAGATAACAACTACAATTTCATTTAAATTTTTGAAGGCCAAATTGAAAAGAAAACACTATTAAGGAGAAAGGACAATATATATATATATATATATATATATATATATATATATATATAATAGCTGGCCACACGTATTCAATGATACCTATCTACTAGGGTGGCTAGCCAATCCCTATTGCAGACGCTCACTCAGGCATATTTGTTTTTGCTCAACACCCACAAAGCCCACCTATGTTGAGAAGACCTTACAATTTCTGAGAGCGAGCGTCTTATCTAGCATGATTAACAATTTGAACAAAGCCAGTACACTCAAGCCCCCAGCCATGACAACTTGTGGCTTCATCGACAGCCCACAAGATTTCCCTCTACCCAATTTCACTCACAAGGCTTGGGTCAACCTGTGGTATGGTTTTCGGGCACTTTCCAAAGGTACGAAATGCTGGGATTGACCTTGATCTGGCCAGATATCAGGAAGTATATATATATATATATATATATATATATATATATATATATATATATATATATATATATATTTTTTTTGCTGCTCCAGTAGGACATCAGAGTATCATGCACAATGCAATCATCAGGTGCTGATTGAATACTGACTGTTGTATAATTATGCAATGGTCAGTTTTTATCTGCACCTCACAACTTGTGCCCCTGGTGAGGAAAAAATAATGTGTATTTATATTATATATATATATATATATATATATATATATATATATGTGCGTGTGTGTATTTGTGCAGCAATCTTTCCTTTTACAAAACTCAATAACTTTAACTATGAACATGGCCACAATATGCTGGCTGTGTTTTTGCAAAAAATATTATATATTAAAATCTACACATCTAATTAAAACTAAAAATTAAAAATCATACTTGATAATGGCTAACAGAATAGCCGAAAGATTTATTGAACAGTTGTCATATGTTAACACACTTTATGTCCTAAAAAGAAAACACTTAAACAATAAAAAAATATGAAGCTTAATCGCAGTCAGTCGTCTTCAATAAAACGTGTGTGTGTATGTATATATATATATATATATATATATATATATATATATATATATATATATATATATACGCACAAGTAAAAAAAATCCTTAAGTAAGTAATCCAAGTGAATCCTATTAATATAAAATATTAAAATGGATCCACAAAAGAGAGCTCAATATATTTATTATAGAGCCAAGAAATGAATTGCATAAAAATGAAACTGAATTGTACCCCATTTTTAGGGCCGTTTTGCTCCTCGAGATAAATTCCCTGGAGCTTGTCAGTACTAAAACTTTTGATAAAAAAATGAATCCTAATATGTTAGTGGAACCTCAATTTAATGCATGAATAGGGGCAAGGGTTGTCAATTAAAGCCATTTGGCCGTTAACTTGAAGCAGATTTTTGTTGTCTAAAAACACTCAGTACAGTACAAAATTATTGTAAATAAATGTAAATACAGTATATATGTATTTTATCGCTTCTCGGCCTTTTGGCTAAGATCAAAGTGTAGTATTTTATTTTTAATTTACTATATTTTAACTTAAAATAAATTACACACAAAGATAGAGAAAGATGTGTATTTTACATTTTAAATTTAAACTTCTTAAGTCCCAATTTGTCACCAATACTAAGGTAAGTGCATTTCCTTTTCTCACCACCGTTTTGACTGGAAGGGCTTGACAACAAAAAAAAAAAAAAAACAATACTGTAGCAAAATCAGTATAACATGTTTGAGAGACGATGCATGTGTGTACACAACAAGTGTGTAAGTAAACAACTGCAGCTATTCCTGGTTTAACCAGTCACGGTCTGTTGATTGCACCAGTAAACAACGGTGGCCAATTCTGGAACTAAAGGATATTGCACACTACATGTGGATGTTTTGAGTTCCATCCTGGCACTAACATTTTTGTGGATTTTGTCTTAAATCCAGAGAGTGTTGCTTCTGGGCACATTAATTCAAGGTTTTACTCTGTGTGCGTGTGTATATACATATATATATATATATATACACACATACATACATACATACATGTGTGTGTATTAGCTTCTGAAAAATGATTTGGTCAAGCACTGTGGGGAGAAGAGTGAATTTGTAAACAGTGACTATTACTGCTGATAATACAAGACTCTCCAGCAGGATTGAGTTCTCTACGTCATTGGCATGTTTATGAAAAATAAATATGCAAAAATTTGCTTTCTCTCTGACATGTGCCACTGGCCTAGTGGTTAGAAACTTCAACTGATGCCAAATCGGTCAAGTTTCAGTCCTGGCTTGAAGCGATCAGATGTCTAGCTACATTGGTGAGCTGCGATACACCGAAAGTCTGTCTGTGGATGACATATATATATATATATATATATATATATACACACACACTTATATTTGTAAACAATTGTAGTCTATGCCTGTGTGAGTTAGCAGTGACAGTGGACTCATTGAACTTTGCAATGGGGTAGATTGTTGTCACTCTCATGTCACATAAAGGGATGGTAGAGGTTGTGGGTTAAACAAAGGTAAAGGTGTTCCAAGCCTCCTCCATCTAACTCCCCCCACTCCACTGGCTAAATAGTGAAATCAACTGATTAAAGAAGCCCATAGAAAAAGCACTCATTTGTTCATTGTGATGATCACAATATGGGTTGAACGCAGAAGGAAAGAAGTGGCTTCGTGGAAATGCCAGACTAATATATAACATGTGGAAAAAAGGTTTCACCCTTCAACAAAACCACCATGACAGTGGCTGAAAAAAAGGAAAAAAAGAAGTGAAAAAGAAAGGAGAGGGGGCCAAAGAAAGAGGGGGGGCAAGGAAATAAAGAAAGGCCGGGGAGGGGGGGCCAAGGAAATAAAGAAAGGCCGGGGAGAGGGGGGCAAGGAAATAAAAGAAAGGTAAAAGGAAATAAAAAAGGCCGAGAGGGGGGGCCAAGGAAATAAAGAAAGGCCGGGGAGAGAGGGGGGGGCCAAGGAAATAAAGAAAGGCCGGGGAGAGAGGGGGGGGCCAAGGAAATAAAGAAAGGCCGGGGAGAGAGGGGGGGCCAAGGAAATCCAAGGAAAGAAAAAGGCCTCCAAGGGAATAAAGGGGGGCCAAAGGAAATAAAGAAAGGCCTCCAGGAAATAAATAAAAGGCCTCCAAGGAAATAAAGAAAGGCCTCCAAGGAAATAAAGAAAGGCCTCCAAGGAAATAAAAAAGGCCTCCAAGGAAATAAAGAAAGGCCTCCAAGGAAATAAAGAAAGGCCTCCAAGGAAATAAAGAAAGGCCTCCAAGGAAATAAAGAAAGGCCTCCAAGGAAATAAAGAAAGGCCTCCAAGGAAATAAAGAAAGGCCGGAGGGGGGCAAGGAAATAAAGAAAGGCCGAGGAGGGAGGGGGGGGCAAGGAATTAAAGAAAGGCCCTATGGGCAAGGAAATAAAAAAAGGCCGGGGAGGGGGGGCAAGGAAATAAAGAAAGGCCCGGGAGGAGGGAGGCCAAGGAAATAAAGAAAGGGCGGGAAGAGGGGGCCAAGGAAATAAAGAAAGGGCGGGGAGATGGGGGGCCAAGGAAATAAAAAAAAGGGCGGGGAGGGGGCAAAGAAATAAATAAAGGGCGGGGAGGGGGGCCAAAGAAATAAAGAAAGGGTGAGGAGGGGGAGCTAAGGAAATAAAAAGAAAGGGAAGGGGAGCCAAAGAAATAAAGGAGGGTGAGCCAAAGAAATAAAGGGAGGGCGAGCCAAAAGAAATAAAGAAAAAAGAAAGAAAGAAAGGGGAGAGAGGGCAAATAAAGAAAGGGGGGGAAAAGAAAGAAAAGGTGGGGAGGGGAGAAAGAAAGAAGGGGATAAAAGAAAGAAATGACAACGCAGGAAAAGAAAGAAAGGAAGGTCTGGGGAGGGAGCGTAAAAGGTAAAAAGGACGGAGGGCACAAAAGAAAGGACAATGCAGCAAAAGAAAGAGAAAAAAGAAAAGAAAAAGGAAACAAGGTATGAAGAGAGAGGAATAAAGTAAAAGAGAGACGAAAAAGAATAAAGACAAGAGAAAAAAAAGAACGAAAAAAATACGAAGAAAAAGAAAACAAGAAAAAAAAATCAAAAGTAAAGTAACAGAAGAAAGAAATACGACAAAATCGACAATAAAAGCACTTGAGTTAGAAAAAAGGAAAATCAAAACAGTCAGAGATGCGAAGGAAAAATCCATGACTGAACCGAGGGGATGCTTGTGAATGAAAGCAGAAAGAAAAAAAATTCCCTCTGAAACAAAAAAATGAACAGGTTGAAATGAAAAAGACAAACTTGATATTCTGGGATGTGGGTAGAGAAAACTAGTGTTTAGCCAAGGCAAAAAGAAATATATCAGCAAATGGTGGACTCCTTCAAAGAAACAAGAAACACAAAAAGTGCTATAAAAAAAAAAAAAAAAGACAAAGAGAAAATACACTCCAACTTAAAAAATAAATAAATGTCTTCGACCCATGTTTGCTTCAATTGGATATTTCATGATTCTATTCCTTTCAACTAACCTTTTTTTTTT